TTGAGCTGTGGTGCTGGAGAAGAGTATTGAATGTACCATGGACTGCCAAGAAAACAAACAGATTCATCCTAGAGAGGGTTAAACCGGCTGCTCCTTGGAGGCAAGAATTCTGGGGCTCCATCCAACATACTTTGGACATGTTGTAAGGAGAGACTGGTCCTTGGAGAAGGACATCATGCTTGGGAGGGTGGAGGGACAGTGCAGGAGGGGAAGACCCTTTATGAGGTGGATTGATTCAGCGACTGGGGTAATTGGGATGGGTGTGTCAGAGGCAGTGCGATTGACACAGGACAGAGCCGAGTTTAGGGCTGTTGTACATAGGGTCGCTATGAGTCGCAAGCGACTCGACGGCACATAACAACAACAACAACAACAACTGAGTACACACAACAATGATAGTAACAGTTGTGGAGAGGCTCACGTCCTGGCACACCTCTTTTTACTCCGCTTTGCAGATGGGACTTTGTACAGATCGAATGCTTATGGCAACCCTGTGTCGACCAGGTCTATCAGCTTCTTTTCTCCCACCCTGTGTGCTCACTTCAAAGCCTTCTTGTAGTGGTATTGCCCATCAGCATTCTTCAGTGTCAAGTACACCTAAACATGCCTCTGGAAACTCTATGAACTTTGAGAAACAATAGTATCGAAAAGCTTCAGGTCTTTTGTTTATAGGGCCGCTATGAGTCATGCTCGACTCGATGACAATCACAACAACAACAACTACAGCGTACACCTAACCTTTATGTGTACTGGGAACCATTACATTGGTTTGACTTATTATATTGAGAGAATATTCCTAGTGTAGTGGTCTGGAGCTGGACCCGAATTATCTCCGGGGTATGGCCGTCCCCGCACAGCCTGCAGCGAGCATTTGGAAGATGTTGGAAGTAGGAGTGGGAGCTCAGGGTGCCTGCGTGGACCAGAAAGTGGGGGTTTCCCACTGTGTGTGGATGACAGACTGCACTTAGATCCATAGAAGCCACTTTCCCCTGCGGGGACACCATTGTGGGAGTCTGGCATCTGTCTGTGTGGTGCCTGTAACAGTGTGTGTGTGTGTGTGTGTGTGTGTGTGTGTGTGTGTGTGTGTGTGTGTGTGTACGTGGGAGGAACTGTCCCTGCTGGCTATGCAGGACTGTGCCCGGAGGACATTCTAAGCACCATGTGCCCTCTGTTCCCCTCTGGTGGCAGATGCCAGTGACATCGACCGCTTCCTTAGCGCGTTCCACAAGCCCCACGCCGGCCTCATCCAGGCGGCCCGGCAGCTGCTCTCTGACGAGCAGTCCCCGCTGCGGCAGAGGCTGCTGGCTGATCTCCTGCACAACATCAGCGAGAACATTGTGGCCGAGACCAGGGCTGACGACCAGCAGTGGTTTGAGGGTGCGTGGTGGGCCCGTGCATGTGAGGGGAAGCTGGGTGCCCAGGGGCTCCTTTCCAGTCACGTGCCAGGGTGGACTGGATTCTATTTCAGAGTCTACAGCTCATGAGATGAAGGGGCCTATCTTGGTTCTTCAGGGTAGAGGACCCTGAGCAAAGTGTGGGAACTTAATGAGAAGTTGTGAGCTCCCACTGCAGGGGGTGGGGCTGAGAAGCCAGGCTACTCCCCAAGAGTGGCCTTAAACCAGGAGGTTTAACTCACACACGATAATCCTTTCAGAAAAGTAGGGTTTGAGGTACCAGCCCTTGTTATTTGAGATACCCCATGCAGGGAGGCTGGAAGACTCCATCTCTGCTGGAAAACAGACAGCCAGGAAACAAGAGGGCTCAGAAGCCTCCAGATGAAGGAGTTAACCCTCACTTCTGACCGGCCTGGCCGAGAAGCTGACCATGAGGGAGCCTGGCCTGCTCCCCGGGGTCCCATGGCGGTGTCCTCTTCTTCCCCTCAGGTTTGGAGTCTCGATTTAGGAACAAGTCCAGCTATTTGAGATACAGCTGTGAGAGCCGGATCCGGAGTTACCTGAGAGAGGTGAGTTCATGTTGATACCTGGGGTTGGGGAGGGGGAGGCTGGGTGATCTCAGAGGCTGCCCCGCTGGCTAATTTCTCATCTCCTGAGTGGGTGCACGCATTGGGGGTGCTACCCGCATCTACCCCTTAGTGACTGTGCAGGCCCAGTCAGGCTGCTCTGAGGGAATAAATCAATACTTGGCCTGCTTGCATTGCTGAAGTGCAAGGCTTACAGCGCCTCCGCTTGGCTTCTGGTGTTGAGCTTCCATTCTCCTCAGGGGCTGTTGCTGTTAGGACACCTTGAGTTTCCTAAGACTCATAGTGACCCTGTGAACAAGGGGTCTGAATCTTACTCTACTCTGCTCTGTTCTCACCATCCCTGATAAACTCGAGCCCATTGCTATAGACACCGTGAAGTCCATCTTGTTGAGGGTCTTTCTTTTTGTTCACTGGCCCTCTGCCTTTCCAAGTATGATGTCTTTTTTCAAGGACTGGCCCCTCTGACAACTTGCCCAAAGTATGTGAGATAAAGTTCCACCATCCTTGCTTCTAAGAAGCAGCCTGCTTTGCCCTCTTCCAAGACAGGTCAGTTTGTTCGTTTTGCAGTCTGTAGTATAGTCAGCACTCTGCAACCACCACAGTTCAAAGGCATTGGATCTTCTTCAGTCATCCTTAGTCATTGTCCATCTTTCGGATGCATAAGAAGTAATTGAAAAGACTCTGGCTTGAATCTGGTGCACCTCAGTCTTTAAACTGACATCACGGCTGCTCAGAACCTTGGAGAGAGTCCTTGACAAGAGATTTCATCAATGCAATATGTCCTTTTATTTCTTGACTGCTGGTACCAAGGGGCAGCTCCTAGGGCAGCCCCACTTAATTGAGATTACATATTCCCAGAAGTTTCCATGCCAGCACCTTCCCCTGTTCCTCACCGGGCAGGTTTTGAATAGAACCAGCCTCTGTTGTTAAGTGCTGTCAAGTCGTACGCGACTCATAGTGACCCTATGAACGAAAGACCTGGATATTTGTATAACTTTCATCTTTTCTCCAGGTTCATAGGGTTTCCAGAGGCAAGCTGTTTCGGAAGTGGATGCCACTCCTGCTTCCAAGCTTGTTTTAATTGGGGAGCTCCACCAAACACTGTCCACCATGGGTAACCATTCTCGCATTTGCCACATCAGTGTCACAGTGTTCAGCTTCACAGCAACCATGACCACCCTTCAGAATGCCTTAACCTCTCGGGCCATCCAGTCTGAGGTGACCTGAGCTCATATCAGCCTCTTTTCTCTGTCCACCATTAGCCTCTAGCAAATGCCTACACAGTGCGGTGACATTCTCCCAGAACTTTCATCCATGCCCCTCTCCTGTGGTGATATGCGACCACCTGACCTCCAAGAAGCATCAGAAAGGGCTGGGTGCGGTCTGCTGCGTAGAATGGTTTTCTGACAAACTTTCCGTAATGGCTGGGTCTGTGCTGATTTTGTGGGCTAAATTGAGTAACTCTCCCCTTAAACGGAGTAATTCTCACTTTGTCTGAGATACATGAGAGAAACAGATAGGGATTTAAGGTATAAAAATACTCCTAGTGGAAAAAAAAATACTCCTAGTGGAAATGACGCTTAGCCTTCAAGAGAAATTGGATTTTGGGTCCACGGCCCTTAACGTGCTCTGTTTGACTTCCCTTTCAATAAAGAAATAGTCCTAGTTGACAGATGAAATTCCAAGAGAGCTGGTGAATGGGAGCCCTTGCAGTGACCTGTAAACAGAGGAAGGATTGGATCCATTCTGGGGCAATTTAGTGACAGGGACTGTGACTCGGCCACTAAGTTGGATTTTGTGTAACACTCTGTGGATCTCAGGGTGAGGAGAGGAGAGGTGGGCGCGGCTCCCTGGTTGCTGAGTTCTGAAATTATGAAATTCGAGACATGCATTCCTGGACATGGCTCAGAGCATGGGGCTGAGCAGTATGTCCCGTTGGCTCTGTTTGTCTTGGCGTTTCCAGGGCCTCCCAGCTGCCGGCTGTAGGAAGGGTGGGGCCCAGGAGGAGAAGTGAGCATGGGTTTCTGTCTGTCATGGTTTCTGCTTTATGCTTGTGTGGTTGGAGGTGAGTCATGAGGCTCTCTTGTCCCCCAGTATTATTGTCCTTCTATCCCCTCACCCCGATTCTACCTTGATCCCCCACACCCAGCCATACATCTTAGATGAGATTTTAATTTTGTGGAGGAAAATGAAACTCAAATAAGGACAACAACAGTTTTAGAGAAGGAGACCCCAGGACTGGAGTGTCTAGGGCCCAGTCCTGCTTTCTTCTTTCTGCTCCCATCTGTACCCCTCACCCCTACTGCCAGCTGATTGGGGACATAAATGTTTCTGCCAAGGACACCCTCTCTACAGCAGGCTGGTCTCTTGCTGGCAGTCTCTGATGGCCACCCCCCTGGGCCTGGCCAGCTGGGTTGGATTCTTACCTCTGTGCTTGCTCACTACTTACTCTGTGGGGCACTGACCCACACCACCTAGAATCCTGCAGCTGTTCCTGGCTCCCTGGACTGTGAACCCCTCAAGAAAGGGCTGTGGCATCTTTGCCCCAGTGCTCGTTTCTCCTCACTGGATGTGAGCAGCGTGCCATGTGGGGGTGGCAGCCCTGCCTCCCTCCCTGTCTCCCTTCCCACCTCCCTCCTTGCCTCCCTCCCTGCCTCCCTCTCTGCTTCCCTCCCTGCCTCCTCTCCAGTTCCTTCCCACGTGGCCATGGTGGGCACGGGGGCAGACGGGACAGCTGTGATGTTAGCATCTTAGTAATCTCATGCTGCTGGAACGGAAATGTCACAAGTGCATGACTTTAACAAATTGAAATTTATTCTTTCTCACTTGTTATTCTGTGCAGTGGAGTAGGAATCTCACAGTTGACTCTCCAGTGGGTTTCCAGAGGCAGTAAATTGTGTGGAAGGAGATTGTCCATCTTTTTCGCGAGAAGCAGTTAGGGGATTCAAACTGTGTGTCTCTTGGTTCGCAGTGCAAGTCCTTACCCACTAGACCACCAGAGCATCCTCTTTTCCATGTAGGAGACTAGAAACCTTCATTCAAGGCATCAGTTCCAGGGGGAGGCTTTATCTCTATCAGCTCTGGAAGAAGGTCCTTGACGCCCCTCTTACGCAGCATTGGTGAAGGGGGGACTTGGGGTTACAAGATGAGCTGGGAGCTAATACTGCAGGCCTCGGGGCATCTTGAAGCCATGCTCAGTCTGCACCTTGGTTCCTCAGGTGGCGTCATATGCCTCCATGGTGGGCGCCACGGCCCAGGAAGAGTACGCGAGGATCCTCGACTGCATGGGCCGGAAGCTCAAGTCCGCGCAGTACCACGGCAGTTACTTTGACAGAGGGGCCCAGGCAGACGACCGCCTCTGCACACCTGAGGGCTGGTTCTCCTGCCAGGTGAGCTGTGGGCTCAGATCCTGGGCCCCTCAGGGACCTCTGATGAGCCTGGCCTCAGGCCTGGGAAGGATAGTGAGGCTACTCAAACCTCAGGTGGCCTAGGCATAGTGAGGAGTCAGTGCAGTAGTAAAGACACACTTATCCACAGTCCTGCCTTCTGCCAACACTGGAGTCACCTGAGGGCTGGCCAGGGTGGACTGCAGGGCCTCCAAGGTTCCATCTCTGGAGGGCTGAGTGGGCCTGAGAATCTGCATTTCTAGTATGTGATGCCGCAGCTGATGGTTTGGACCACTGTGAAAGCCCCAATGGGGACAGGGAATAATGGAGTGAGACCTTGCCTTGGTATCTAGGAGCTAAATTAAGTGACAGTGAGTATGTTCATCTGGGCTGGCTTACTTCTGAGGAGGCAGGAGCCATTGAAAAACCTTTTGGTTTCTCTTAGGTAAAATGTCTAGGCAACATAGCATCTTGGTGTCTCTGGGTCTGAGTCTGGATAGGACTTTACAGTCACCACCTCAAGTGACCTGGTGGCTTGGCACTGGCTAGAAGCAGTCTTTAGTCTTCAGATGTGCTGGGCAGATGCCCAGAGCTCTGCTTTGAACAGTCATCACCACTCGGTGGCCCTGGGTGCCCTGTGCAAAGGCGAACCCTCCAGATACCACCCAGTTGTCCCCTTCTGTAAATGGTGATACAGCCGCTGTCACATGAGAGCAGCTGACTGATGCTTCTTGTCATTTCCTGGCTGGAAAGCCCATTTCCGGTAAAGTCCCTTCCCATACCTGGCCTTCCTAATGCCAATGCGCAGACAGCTGTAGGGGCTGGTGTTGCAAGGCAGTATGTGGAAACTGAAAACCCTCTGTGGTTTCCTCTCTAACACCCTCTAAGCCCTCATGAATTGGTGTCTCCATGGCAACTAGTCCAGGTACTGGTCAAGTGATGGTGGGAGTCAGGAGGCAGCTCTGTGGAATTCACCTTGATCTTTTTGCACCCAGGGTCCTTTCGACATGGACGCCTGTTTGTCAAAACACTCCATCAACCCTTACAGCAACCGAGAGAGCAGGATTCTCTTCAGCACCTGGAACCTGGATCACATGTGAGTATAAATCATGAGAGAGCTTCAGGTGGCCCTGAACGGCGCTCACAGACTGCCCTGCTCCCCAGCCATCAGCAGGCGTGTAACTAGGACCTGGGATCTGAGCTGTTTAGTTTCTGCTTGTCCTCTGAGGAGGTGCTGGGTTTGGATCCCTGCCCACACCTGTGTGCCCTTGAGTCTGCTGCTGTTCTGCCCTTGATTCTCAGCTATGAGTTCACTGGGCCACAGAGCTGCCGGGAGGGGAGGCTGGGTGGGATGCATAGGGGACTGTCACATGCCGCTGTGCTGTGCTTGTGTTTCTTGCTTGAACCGGGATGAGCTCAGCTAGCAGTAGCTCTTGGATATTCTAGTGTACTAGGATCTTGTTTAAACAGGAAGGGCAACACTGCTGGCTGGCGGGGCTGTGTTACATCTATATTAGCTCCTTGACAGCTCATTCTAAAAACAGGGTAGAAATGGAAAATGTCATTATTTTCAGTGGAGACACTTGTCTTGACAATTGTATCATCACTTCTGCTTTATGAAGGCACAGAACGATCTTCAAATGCCTGTCCAATGGCTGTATTACTTTTCGGATCCAGGTTTTTTTGATGGGAAAAGCTATAAACATTGTAGATGTAGTGGAGGCTCCCCCTCCCTTCTTTTACTGTGTCCCTTTGATGCCCCTCCCCACCCCCTAGAGTAACCACTCTCTTGAAGTTCGTGTCCTTCCTTGGAATATATGCTCACATGCCTTTGCTATTTATGCATGTATTAAAGAACTATAAGGTAGTGTAGTTTTTCTGCAGTGTGCTTTTTCATTCTCATTATGCTTTTGGTGGTGCATATGTTGATGCGGTTCGTTCACTTTATATATTTATTTTCATGCGAGGCATTTTGAAGTAGGCGCTGTCTCTATGTACTTTTTTTTTGTGAGAAAAATTTGTATTTAGAATCAGCCAGCTGAACTCAGTTTAGATGATCCCAGTTTTGTTGGCAACATCCAAAGCATCATAGTCAGGAGCAAGTTGAACATAGGCCTTCTTCTCTCCATCAGGCCTAATCAAAGTGTTGACCTTGGCCACATCAATGTCATAGAGTTTCTTTACAGCTTGTTTAATTTGGTGCTTGTTGGCCTTGACATCCACAGTGAACACAAGTGTGTTGTTATCATCTGTCTTCTTCCTGGCTGACTCAGTGGTCAGGAGAAATTTGATGATGGCATAGTGGTCAAGCTTGTTTCTCCTGGGGGCGCTCTTCCGGGGGTATCTGGGCTGCCTTCGGAGTCTCAGCATCTTAGGCCACAGGAAGATGGGTGGTGTGCGGATCCTCTTCTTTTTTTGTTTTTTTTTTGGCTGTGGACGCCCTTCAGGACTGCCTTCTTGGCCTTTAATGCCGTTGCTTTGACTTCAGTTTTGGGAGGGGCAGGGGCTTCCTTCTTCGCTTTCGGTGCCATCTTCATAGAAAGGGCTGTCTGTATTTTTAACATTTTTATTTGAGTCAAGGTTTACAAGTCATCTTGGTTTTTCATACATTCACAGATGTTCTGTTTTATAATAAAGTTGTGCGGTCAACTGAAAGGTACTGGGTTCGAATCCACCAGGTGCTCTGAGGGAGAAAGTGGGCAGTTTCTTTCCATGCAATTTACTGCCTCTCAAATTACACTGGAAGGTTAGCTATGAGTTGGTTCTGACCCAATAGCAACAACAACAAAGGCATTAATGAACGACAATGTTTGACCCATCCCTTATTTTATATTGCTTTTCCTTTCATCCAGCCTATTGATTAATTTTCACTCCCCTCTCTCCTTTCCCATCGCTGTTAACCCTCTAAGATTGTTTCTTTGTGCATGCTTTTGTGATAGTAGTCAGATGCCATAATTGTCTTTTTGTGACTGACTTAAATCACATAGCTTAATGTGTTCTAGGTTTATCCAAGTCGTGAATTCTTGATCATTTTTCAGTGATGCCTAATACTCTATTATGTAAAGTCATTAATTCACATTAGTGGGTGTGAAAGACTTCAGTTATGTTATATAGTGTCATTTCAAAAATTATTATTTATTATTATTAATTTTAATGAGAATTTACAGAGATTTTGGATTTCCATTCACTCATTGTTGCACTTTTCTCCCTCATTTTAACATCCGTTTCCATACTGGAAAACAGGCTATTTCTCAGGTTGTTGTTTTTTCTTTTCTTTTCACCATGACAAGACAACTCTGGAGTGAAACTCTGCTTTGTCTCCTGGCTCCGTGCAATTTAAAGCGGGGTCTGTGGACCAGTGGCGGGTGCATCTCCTGGGGGCTTGCTAGAAAGCCAGATCCCTGGGTCATCCCCTAGCCTGGCTTTGTCAGACTTAACACCTTATCCAGCTGCTCTGTGGTCAGGTGTGAGCAGCACGGACTCAGGGTCAGTACTGGGCCTGGGGGGCCGTCCATCTCCGCCTTTCCCAGCAGTTCCCAAGCTGCCTGCTGGCTCGCTCGCTTTCTCTCTCTCTGGTTTACAAGTTCACCAGCTGTGTAAGTTCATATTGTTTATGACCTGCCAGCTCTTGGTGGTTTTTGTATTTTTTGCTTTGCTTCTATTTGATGGGAAAAACACAGATTCATCCACTTTTTGATTTTTCGAGTGACTAGGAAGGTTGATGGTCATTACACCTTTAATGGCAATATGTGTCTTCTGAGAACTGGCTGTCACCTCCCTTTGCTCCTTGTTCCTGTTTATTTATTGAGATTCACTGCATATTCTGGATTCATATTCTTTTGTGGCGATTTGTGTTACAGATATATTTTCCTAGTCTTGGCTTTCTCCTAATTTTATGATGCTTTTTTATCACTAGTTCTACCTTTTAAATGTGTATACACTCAAATGGATTTTTTCCAAAGTGTGGGTCAAGAAATTGATTCCAGACAATCATGGCATCTCTCCCTCTCTCTCTCTCTCCTCTCATTGTTGTCAAGTCATCACCAACTCATACCTGACTGTCCAGTGGGTTTTCAGGAGCACTAAACCACATGGGAGGAAATTGCTCATCTTTCTTCCATGGAGTAGCTGCTGAATTCGAACCAACTAACTTTTGGCTTGGCAGTGCAACCCTTACCCACTAGACCACTAATTATAGTATAAGGCTACCATTATAACACTCTCAGGAAAGGTTTACACTCAAATAGAAGCAATTTTGGATGTTTAATAGGGGTGGGAAGAGAAAGAGAAAGGAGTTAGAATCAATAAATAGATAAGTTGAGTGAAAGGAAAGGCAACACACAGGAGGTAATCAGATATTGTAATAAATTAATCCCATTAATCAATGGTAATAAAATGTTTATTTCTGACTTATGAAAAAATCATTTGTCAAGCTTCCCTCAAAAGAAATCCTTCCCACCCGATTATCATGCAGGTGGTGGTGGTGGTGTTGATTTCCTTCAAGTTGAGCACGACTCATGAACAAAAAGGCCTGAAGCCCCTCTACAAATACCGACACTTACCAAAGTTCATAGTGTTTACTAAGGCATGTTACTTAGAAAGTGGATGCCACTCCTAATTATCCTGAAGGTACTCTTCTAAAATTAAAATTATTTCCCCCCCGCAGGTCTTGAATTCATGCAGAATTAGGGCCCAGGGTGAGGGTTGGAGGCGAATTGAATTATTTTCCACCTGCTTGCCCCAGCATGGTTCTGGCTTGCTCAGTCCTTCCCTGCTGGCCTGTCGTGTGCCTCCTGCCCTGCACTGGTGCTGAGGCAGCTCCTGGGCTCTGCTGCCACCACTCTGCTCTCCTGACCCATTGGAGGGTGGACATCGGTAACTCAACAAATGAAATAGGCCAGAGGAGGATAGAGTACAATGAAAATAGAATGCACAGTGAGAGTGAACAATGTTTCATGACATTTGTTTCCATCTATTATTACATGCAATGGGTTTTGATGAAAAATACAGTTTTACTGTGAGTCATTAAGGCAGTCTGAGAAGCCCTGGTTTGTTTTTTCCTGAGCTATAGCTTCGGGCTGGCTCCCATTGCTGGAATGGACATCACATGTTAACATGTGTAAAAGCTGAAACTCAAAACTTGTTGTTCATTGCCTTCGAGTCAAGCATGACTCATAGTGACCCTGTGAACAAAAGGCTTGAAGCTCCTCTACAACTATCAACATTTATCAAAGTTCATAGATTTTTCGGAGGCATGTTATTTAGAAAGTGATGCCACTCCTGCTTCCAAGCCTGTCATAGTGTGTTATGTGCCATTGAGTCACCTGAAATGCATAGCGACCCTATATACAGCAGCTCTGAACCCTGCCCTGTCCTGAGCCAGTCTCACTGATTCCCACACAGCAACCCCCATTGCCCCAGGTACTGTATCAATCCATCTCATTCAGGGTTTCTCTCTCCTGCGCTGCCTGTCACCCTTCCAGGCATGATGAGAGATCTCCAAGGACCGATCTCTCCTGGCCTCGTGTCCAAAGTAAATGAGGCGGAGCTTCAGAATCCTAGCCTCCAAGGAGAGACTTGGTTTCACCCTCTCCAAGACAGACCTATTTGTTTTCTTGGCATTCCATGGTATGTTTAAGACTCTTCTCCAGGATCACAACTCGAAGGCCTTAATTCTTCTGTCATTCTTAGTCATTGTCCAGCTCTTTGAAGCATAACAAATAATTGAGAAAACCATTGCCTGGATTAGGTGCACCTTTGTATCTAGACTGACAACGTTGCTCTTCAGCACTCTGGAGAGATCCCTGACAGCGTATTTTCCCAGTGCAATTTGTCTTTTGATTTCCTCACTGCTGGTGTTGTTTGTGGAGCTGAGCAAGCCGTAATTGCTAACAGTTTCAATCTCTTCTCCATTTATCCTGGTGCTGCCAATTGGCCCAGTGGTGAGAATCTTTGTCTTCTTGATGTGGAGCTTCAAGCCATATTGAAGACTACAGTCCTTGAGCTTTTCCAGCAAGTGCTTCAGGTCTTCTTCAGAATCAATGTTGTGTCATCTGCATAGTGTAGGTTGTTAATGAGTCTTCCTCCAATCTTGATGCCACACTCTTCCTCATAAAGCCCTGCTTCCCGAATGGTCTGTTCTGCATAAAGATTGAAAAGGTACTGGGAGACGATGAATCCCTGGTGCACTCCTTTCCTGATTTTTAACCATGCAGTGTTTCCTTGCTCTATTCTGAGGGACTGACTGATTTTTGGTCCAAGTATAGGTTTCATATGAGCATGGTCAAGTGTTTTGAGATTCCCATTTTCCTCAAGGTTAGCCACAATTTAAAACTCAAACTATTATTATATAGAAATGTGTTCCAGCTTCTTACTTTGACACATTTATGTTGCCATCAGGTGGAAGGCCAAGTTTATATTCAGAATGGGAGGACTTCTCAGAGTTCCACACCTGACATGGGCAGTGCAGGGGGAGGTGGTCCTGGCACACACCCTCAGGCTCTGTCTGGTTCCCTTCTTTTCCCACTTCTGGTACCTCCCTTATAGCATAAAGACCCGAGCCCACATGGAGTTTCCTCTTATGCGGGTCTACAGGTGTGCACCCTGGGCACAGCCTGCCCTCAGGAGGTAGACCAATGGGAGGCCAGTGAAGGTGTTTGAGCAGCGCCTTCAGACAATGAGCTCCTGGGGTGGGGTGTGGGAGGCGGGCAGCTGGGGTGTGGACGTGGGCTCTGGGTGAGCATGGCCCCTGACCTGGATCATCTTCATCCTGAGGGTGGGATGTGACCTCACAGTGCTACATCTAGAGCGTGTGGCCTTTCTCCCAACTTTTCATGCCGTTACGAGTTGCTAAAGTGTTCTCACAAGTCTTATTGCCTAGTATTGCAAATTTCTCTCTCTCAAAATGTCTTTAAAATAATCAATGGCCAATTTTGTCTCTTTAATTCATTAATTTTTGCTTTTGCTTCTTATTTCCACCTTCCTCCTTTTTTTTGGGGTTCCCCTTATCTTTTCTTGACTTCTTTGATGTGAGTGTACAAATTGTTCTGTGTTCTAATACAGACATTTAAGACCATACACACACTGGGAGGGTATTAGAAGTGTGGACCACATCAGGTGACATTATTAGAGGAAGGTGGCACCAAAATTGTCTATAATATGTTCTACGTTTCAGCAGAAATGTGTTCTTTTTATAAAAAAACAGTAGTTATAACAACAAAAGCCATTTTCCTAAGCACAGGTCACATGTGTCAATATATCTATGAAGCAAAAGCTGACAATTTCCTTTTTGAAACTTGTACTGTGGTCTGGTCAGAGCTGTCATGCTTACCCAAACAGTGAGGCGTTGGGTCACATGGTTCGGCATTTGCTATCACCACATGCTTTTGATTTTGCTGTTGCTTCTGCTTTTATATGTTTTCAAGTGCTTTACCTACAATAGTGTGGTAATTAATATTTGTTGATCTTTATCAAAACTGTTCTTGAGAGTGAAGTTGTCATTTAAAGAAAGAAAAGTAAAAAAAAGGTTTCCAGTTACTCATAATATAAGCAAATGGAGAAAAATTTTACAAAACAGTTGTGGTTTTAGTATTAATATAATCAAAGAAATACCACATATAGGCAATTTAAAACTATGTAATATGTTATAATGTGATTAAAATGGATAATAAACATTACTAAGCATCAACAACACCAAACATTCTGTCGGGAACTTTGGTGGCCTAGTTGGTAAGGAGTTGAGCTGCCAACCCAAAGGCAGGTGATTCAAATCCACCAGCTGCTCTAGCGGGAAATAGATGGACAGTCTCCTCCCATGCAATTTACAACCTTTCAAAACCCACTGGAAGGCCAGTTATGAGTTGGCTTTGGCTTGAGGGCACAGAGTAACGGTACCAAGGATTTTTTATGGTCTGAGATAGGAGGTGGCCCAGGGGTGGGGCAGTAACAATATAAGCCTCTTAGAGGGGTAACACCAACCCTGGTAGTGCCACTGCCATATCCGCTCTCTGACACTGCTTTACCTGGACTCCATGAATTCACTATTTTGTTACCATTATAAAAATTGTGAGTTTTAGTTTTTATTTCAATATTGACATAGGTCTTATTTTAGAAATTTGGTTTTTGGTTTTCAAACACATTTTTGGGTGTTGGTGTCTCATATTTCTAACTTCCTTCCTTGTGACCTGTGGAGGAGATGATTGTGTGACCCTGGATCCCCAATTCACTCTTTTCCTTGAAAAGAAAGAAAAACTCTTTCATTGTTATGCAATCCCTCCCCCCTCCCCAAGTCCACCCCACTGTGCAGCCTTCAGTCTGGATAGCTGTAATGACAAGAATACCCATTCATATGTCCCTTTTAAACATTTCTCTCCCTCATCTGTTTCAATGCAGTATACATCATTCCTCCCCTCCTTTTCTCTCTTCCCTCAACCCTGATATCAGTCCCATTTTACAACAGTGGCCCTATGCAATATTTGTCCTTTTGTGACTGAGATATTTCACTCAGCATAATGTCCTCCAGGGTCATCCATTTTGGATAATATTTCATGAGTTCCTTGTTTTTCAATGCAGCATAGTATTCCATTGTGTGAATATACCACAGCTTCTCTATCTATTCATTTGTTGATGGACACTTGGGTTGTTTCCAGCTCTTTGCTATTGCAAACAAAGCTGCAATAAACATGGGTGTGAGGGCTGGGAATCTTTATGGGAGGAGCTCATCCTTCTTCCTCACAGCGTGGCTGACCAGGCGAGGAAGCTGAAATTCCCATCAGTGCAGCTGGCACGTGGAGTTGGCCCTGTTAACCACCACAGTCTCTGACGTCAAAGGAGGATGATCTTTGTCTCCTGGGACTGATTTGGACCATTAGTGCAGAGAGCAGGGTTCACTGGAGTGAACCTGGTGTCACTTACTCCCTTTGAGATCTTGAAAATTTTCCACTTGGCTTTTCCTATAAACAACCAGTCATTGTTGTATGTTTCCACTGAAACAACTCAGTTAATAGTATGCTTCAAGTGTCCCTGGCTCAAAAGGGGTGACCTGTTGTCTGTGGGATTATGTCAACAGAACATGACCATCTGCCCTTACTTTGCAGAATAGAAAAGAAACGCACTGTTGTCCCAACGCTGGCCGAAGCGATTAAAGAACAGGACGGCCGGGAAGTAGACTGGGAGTACTTTTACAGCCTGCTGTTTACCATGGAGAATCTAAAGTTGGTGCACATTGCCTGCCATAAGAAAACCACCCACAATCTCAGCTGTGATCCCAACAGGATCTACAGACCCAAGGCCAGGTTGAAGAAGAAGCGAGCTGTCCGGAAACGCACGTGACATCCATGTCCCGTGTGGGGGCCCTGCAGTAACGTCCCGTCCTTTTTACAGGTGCTGGCAGGACCTGGTTGGCCCAAGAGTGGGTGCTATTGTTCTTCACAGGTGCTCAATTTTCCTCTCCTTTTTTGGTCATTTCAGTGATTCCTGGAAGCACTCTGGCTTTTTAATTTTTTTTCCTACAAATTTCCAACCTATATGTCTTTGGATCTGCTTCCTACACCTTCACAGCCAATTTCTAGCGAACAAGCTTTCATGTCCTCAGCACTTATCTGTGGGTCCATAGTCCTACCAGAGCTGCAGGGATAAGGATCCTTTGAACTCAGGGATGTTTCAGCTCTGCTGTTGCCAGTCTTGTGTTTGGGGAGAGTGTAATCTCCGTGCTGTAAAAATGTAATGTCTCAACTTTGCCGTTTGCTTGAGGAACAAAAGTTCTTTTAAAGTACCTAAGACAAATGCCACACTCTGTCCTCTAGGCTCTTCTTCAATGCTCAGAAGACATTTTTTTGGCCCTTGTGGAGTTAAATGCATTTATTTTATTAAGACCCACATATACACTGTAGAATTGCTTATTGTTGTTGTTATGTTGCTATGTGCTGTCAAGTTGCCTACAACTCATAGTGACCCTATGTACAGCAGCTCTGAATCCTGCCCTGCCCTGAGCCAGTCTCACTAATTCCGACACACCAACCCCCATTGCCCCAGTTACTGTATCAATACATCTCATGTGGGTCTTCCTCTCCTGTGCTGTCCCTCCACCCTATTATAATGGGGGGGAAGTAAACCTTTAAAAAATATGCATCTGTGGTCATGCTGACTATGGTATTAAGTGGAGCCTTATGAAATGACTGTTTTAATAGGTAAGACATAATCAGAGCTACAAATTGCAAACCATGTTGTGTACATGTATGATGCTATGTTTTCTGAAAGGCTGTGTGTGTTCCATGTGTAATTATGTTAGCGTGTGCAGTCTGTGTGTAGTTAATGCATGCACACTTGATGTGTATACCAGTCCGTGAACACTCAGTCTGTACACTACCCCAAACTGGGAACAGCAGTAACCCTGGCAGTTGGGTTACAAACGACTTTTTTTTCCCCCAAAGGATTTATTTTTTAAGTCATGTATTTTATAATATTTGAATTTTCTGAAATGAACTTTATAACACTTCAAAATTTACTTTTTAAAGTTATACATTTTATACTGTTTGAGGTTTTTTTACAAGCTATTTTATAATCAGAAGACGCAATAAAGATTTTCTAAAAATTGACACGTTGTTTATTGTGTTGTTGCTGTTGTTGTTATGTGCCGTCGAGTCGCCTGCGACTCATAGCGATCCTATGTACAACAGCCCTAAACTCCGCTCTGTCCTGTGCCAATCGCACTGTCTCCGACACTCCCATCCCAATT